CTCATTAAACATAACCCTTTATTCTCCTGAAAAAGAATAGTCAACTGTTTGAAAGCGCTCGAGTTTTGGGTCTCGTTTGAAAACATTACAACTTTCGTATGTGATCATGTGTGCTAATTTCTTAACCAGAATTAATAATATTGCAACTAATTTATCATTAAATATTATACAACAGATCAACATGAAGGATTTAATTTCCTTCTTCTCTCTATATAGGAACTTGAAGGATCCTGTGATTTCTGAGAGACAGGTTTACTTTTCTTCTGTTATTAAAGTCTTCTTAAAAAGAGACTGAGCAACTTAAAAGCCTTCACGAAAGAAGATAACATTTAGTCCACTGTATAATATCAAATAACGAATTAGGCACAATGTCATAACATTATTCACACACCTAAATTAATTTAGATTTACAGTATGGTGAATTAAAAAGGACTAAAAAACATATTCTAGAACTTTGTATTCAAATAATTATCCTGAAAAAGAAGTTAAATATTATTATTGGACATTAAAGCTTAAAGCTACATGATTGAAGGCAAAAATTTACATATCAATCACAAACTCACTCCACCCCGGCCATACTTGTAGCTTGTGACTACATGTGTTTAAAGCCCTGACATCTGTTGCTATTGACTTAAAGTGCAGATGTTTTAAGAAATAGAGTGGGGAGGTTACATTACAGGACTTTCAAAGATAAAGTTCTCCTATTCCATGATTATGAAAGCTAGCAAGGTATGACATTTTAGCATTTAGAACAAAGATATCTGTCAAGGCAATGAAGGGAAGGCATGTTTCCAGTTGAGAAAAAAGCAGGCTACTCCACAACTGGCTATCAGTTGTCACCAGATATAAGCCAAGAACACAATGATCCACTGTTGCTAAAACAGAAACCTTACTTAGAACTGTAAATAAGATAATTCACACGGATATAGGTGTACAAAAACAACACAAGAGTTGTATTCACAATACCCTCTTAAATCATATAACAAAATGGGAGAGGAGACGAGCTATATAAGCACTATCTAGCATGTGAGAAGAATGCAACATTTCAGATATGTTACAAAAAATTTTCAATGTTTTTAACAAGAGATTTATGGTCATTGAAGGTCATGATTATAATGGTAACTTAACTATCTTGTGAAAAGCGGTAAAGAAAGTCTGCATACTATATTGTAATGAAATACAATCATAGTACGAATTGGATGTCAATACTGTATGGTCCCATCAAGACAAAGCATACAGCCAAATGGCCAAGTTAACATGCAAGTGCAAATAGGAATTCATAATATAGGGCCCGGCATGGCCAGGTGGTTAGGGTGTTCGACTAGCAATCTGAAGGTCGCGGGTTCGAATCTCCGTCACACCAAACATGCTTGCCCTTTCAGCCGTGGGGGCATTATAAAGTGACGGTCAATCCCACTATTCGTTGGTAAAAGAGTAGCCCAAGAGTTGGCGGTGGGTGGTGATGACTAGCTGCCTTCCCTCTAGTCTTACACTGGTAAATTAGGGACGGCTAGCACAGATAGCCCTCGTGTAGCTTTGCGCGAAATTCAAACAAACAAACAATTCATAATATAACATTTGTAGATATCTCCCACTGAATTTTAACTGTTGCCATCCACGTGTACAATTGATGGATTGTGGAGGGTATATAAAGAAGGGGTGGGACAACATTCACCTGTGTATTTTTATGCAAAAGCCTCTATTAGTGATATTTGCTACAAAGCTAAAGTCCATATTCCAGACCCTTGGTGATAGAACATACTGGGTTGTAATGCCAAGGCAGACATAATAACAGCAAAGAAAGGCTGGTCAACACGATACTATACGAATATAAATGCATTATAACGTCTCTAATTCCACAGAAAAGTACGTCTTTTGATGTGTAAAAACAAACTGGAATCACAATTTACAGGACAGTTACTTCCTGTGTTATGATGTTTTCGCTTCTAATACTAATACAGTAATCTCAACAAGGACTAAACCTAACTAACTTTGCTCCTATGCACTAATAAATTAATAGTAAGTTTCAACTGCAGAGAACTATACAGAAACAAGTAACTAAGTTGGAAAAAAACGAAATTTACACTCCAGATAATTAAACGAGAACTTTTATTTAAACCAACATTTTGTAATTACGGCTTCTTCAAGTCTAGTACAGTAAACTAATTTTATGTACATGCCCCGAAGAAGCTGTAAAAGTGAAATGTTGGTAAAATTATCTTTAATTATTTGGAGTGTAAAAGTAATTTTTTCTAACTCTATTATCAAAATCTCCAGTATGCACTACAAGTTCTGAAAGATAACAAACAAAGATCAAGTTATAACTAAAAGTGCTCATTTTGTTTATTATTATAGTTAATCTGAATCTACTCAAAGTAATATAAGGAAATAACTGAAGCAGTCATAATTCTTTTACACTTGGCAATCATTAAGCTCCCCAACATAAGTATTTTTTCTATATAATATAAGAACATTAACTTCACATTCTTTAATCCTTACATTTTAAAACAATATCTTTTATTTTTCAAAAATTGTAATTCTTCTTTAACCTAACGTATGGATAGATTATTGTCAATATTTCTAAAAATGAAGAAAAAGAGTATTCCAAATAAATAACAACAGCGTATAACCTGTTGCTCTACGGTAAGGCCTGCATTTGGTAATTTTGCTCGAATATTGTCTTCTTTGTCTCCAAGACAGACTAACTTCATCTTATCGAAAACATCACTTTTAGAATGTCCAAGGGTAAGTTCTTCCCTAAAGCAGACAAATGTGAAAACAACTTAATAACTGGAGAGATCAGTGTTATTCACATTTTTATTAGGGATACACTAGAAGATAAACTGAGTTTGAACTAAAAGGTAAAACCTGAGATAAATGTTATAGGATCAGCTGAAATATTGTTTGTGTGATAAAATATTGGCTTTTCAAAATATATATAAACGAGTTATTTTCTCTAAAGAAAAAAAAACGAATCTGAAAATGTTTCATCAACAATGGTTCTAGGCTTAATGTCTAAAATATTAAATAATGAGATTATCCCATAAAACAGTTCTTGTTATTTTTTAACAACTTCACAAATGTATTTGTTAAAAAATAATAAAAATAACTCTATTTCATTTATGCATACACACAGAGGGTTGTTCAAGAACTATGGTAACAATACAAGAATAAGAAAGACTAGGGATATCCAATCACTTGTTTAATAATGTGATAAAAATATCTAAATTCAAACAAGATTCTATTTTTTTAATTAATATCCTTTTCCTGACTTATAACTTATGAAAAAATTATAAAATTAAGCTACCAAATGTTTCGTAATAACAGCTAAGTATGTTAACTTGAGTTTGCTATACAATTCAATGATCTTATCTAAACTGTGCACACACATACACACACAAAAATAAAAGGCAGAACTTTGTGTATTATTGATTAAAAAATTAATGGCTTGTCTTCATTATTATCTGTTTTTTATAGCCATTGTTTCCATCCCCAATAGATTCGGGCTAGAATATTGAAATCTGTTGCTTGGTCAATGAGACAGGCAACCTACAAAAACAAGAAAAGAAAATTTTCACAAGTGTGAAGTAATTTAAATACAGCTTGATGAATGAGCTATTTAACCTGATGGTTAATAAAAATATGACTCTTAGCTAAAAAGTAGTTCTTATCATCTCTAATACAATGCAAAAGATGAGTATCATAGAAAGAAATCCCATTATAAACATAAAACACTGAGGAAATACAACCGTTTTTTGTCATGAGAAACTTTTATGGGTACACCATTTACATCCTAAGTTTACTATTATAGTTTTTCCTTTTTTTCTAAAAACTACTGAAATCAATTATAGTTTGTTTCTAAAAGAAATAAAAATTCTCTCACACTCACAGATGTTGTACTTGACCTTTTTATTACAAAATGGAAATGAAAGACAAAATTAAACAAGTGGCATGTTTAAATATACATTGTATCATGTCTGTGTGTGCATTTTAAGTGGATTGAAAAATTCCTAATATAATGACTTTACAAAAATAGAGAATTGAATACCTTATTGAAATGATTGAAAATATGCAAATCAGCACGTCATATTAGAACTACCTTTTAAGGTTGTTTGACGTAATCAAAAATTGATGGCTTTTAGGAAGAGTACGTAACAGACTCGACATAAAATATTCATATATGTGTTTAAGTTGGACATATCTGTTATACTTAATGTCACAGGCTTATGGATCAACTTGGGAAACCAGGACCATCCAGAAAAAGATGTGCAACAAGAACCCAACTGTGGTGTACTGCAATTCCACAAACACAAAGGTTAGTGGTAAGTCTTCTATGTGCTCCAGTCACACACATTCATTCAAGCAGCTGGTAGAATGAAATAGGTATACACGCTTTTTCATACAGAAACATACCAGTTAAGTCTCCAGACTGTTGAAACAGGTATGCTTTGAACATGAAAATCATTACAACATTCTGCAAGGCTATTTTTAGATATAGCATGACTTGACAAAGTGGTGAGATTTTAAAAATCTTTAATATCCAAGAAAGATAAATAAAATGAAGATCAACTTCAGATTTTGTCTTAAGTAGTTCAGTTAGTATCAACACAATGTAAATTGGTTTGCTTTGATTACATTCCATAGGTCAAATCACTTAAAGAAATTCCTTTTCCCATCTTTTTTTTAATAATGTGCAGCACCCTTTATAAATAGTAGAAAGGAACAGAAATTGTTTGTTTTGTTTATGAATACTGAATTTCGGGGAATTGACATGCCAAGACTTTAGCACACCATTAGTAAAAGTTTTTCAAGGAGATAAAATTATTATTAACTTTCATCCAATTCCAAAAAGTATTTTTAATTTAACTGTACTAAAAGTTTTCACATAATACCTGGTACGTTACAACTGTAAAAGTAATAAATAAATATAATTGAAATGTCATTATGTCCATTTACTAAAAAAAAATCACTATATTAACCCATCCATTATTCATCTTATAAAATGTACAGTAAAAATAAATTGATGAAATGAAATTGCTTCTTGGAGGAGTCAGGCACACAAACTAAATTATCAGGGATTGAAATATTACATTCTCGCATTCCAGAGGAATTTCATCTTTAAGTTGGCTTTCCCAATTGGGAATACAAGATCCATCCGTATTACTTTAGTTACGACCAAAAGACAGTGAGCATACTGCATGATTTGAATTTAAAAAAAATACAAAATTCATGAGGGAATGTAATTTTATTTCATTATTTATATCCCAGATTATGTTGTTTCTTTTATTCTGGGAATCTCAAAAAGTAGCTTTTATATTTCAGTTTAATGGAATGGAAAAGTGATACATTACATAAAATTATCAGAAAACTATCTACATTCATTACAGCTAAAAGATGAAAATAAATAAAATATATCTGAACAACACGGTTATTTGTACTTCTACAAATTAGGATAAAGTAAGGCTTATACTACATGTAAAAAAAAAAGATTTTTGTATATCTGATCGATAAATTTTAAGTATTATGGAATGTTAATTGAGTAATAAATCTTACTGTAAGATTTTGACTAGAAACTTTTAAATGACATACATTTGCACATGTCAAAAATTGTTCTACTAAAATTACTTCAACACTATATAAAAGCAGCTATCATATGTACTTTTTTTTAAAAAAATATATCTAAAATTAAGAGTATCAACAAATGTTCTTGTTACATTTATTAACATCCATGTGAAAAAACAATAAAGGACAATCATCAACCATTTTAAATAATTTATGTAAACTAACAATATAGTAGAGACAGCCGATATGGGTATTTAAAGAACAATATTTTGACCTCCTTAGGTCAAAATTGTGTTAAGAATGACTTTGAAAAATCATTCTTAACCCGATGATGGCTGATGGAAATCAAAACATTGTTACTTGTTTTAAATACCCATATCAACCATTTCTACTCTATATACATTTATTTCAAGTGGGTTCCTTGTCATCAGGAACTGTTTGTAATCTTCCATTATTTCACTGACTGTGCTCATTTGTAGTAAAATTTTGTTTCATAGTGATGAAGCTGGGCACCAAGTTTTGGAATCTAACGGGCAAACAATTAATTACCTTCAATGACGTATTTATACCACATAGGTTTTCTATTCTAGTTTGTTCCGGGTGTTTCTCAAATCATACCTTCAGAGCGTGAAATTGGGAAGAGAATGTGTGTCTTTTCTGCACTATAATGGCTGCTGCTAAAGAAAGCAAAAGATTTTAACATTTAATAGAAAAAAAATATATACATTTCTGCCAAACTCTGCTTCTATCTCTCACTTTATTAATTAGATAAAAAAAAAGAATATGTTTCATCTGTCAAAAAAAAGTGGGATCATCATAAAACTGAAATCAAGGGTAATAAAAAATATTGTAATTTCATAGATAAAAGCAACTACACTATATATATATATATATATTGACACTTTCTCTTGTTGCTATTATTTTAATATTTTCATCCATAAGTAACAGAAAGAAGCTAAAGTTCTAAGAAGCTTAGGTCAATCTAAACTCTCTCGAACACTGACTAAAAACTTTATATTACAGTTATGTGCATATAATG